GGGCTCCTTAGTGAGGGTCCTTTTCAGTCGATTTGTGATAGTTTCCAACGTCTTAATGAGTCGCTGCTGATTTTCCAATTCAAGGGTATCGTTTCTTTCATCGGGTAGTGGCACACTAGCTGAGATAAAAAGAAAACATAACACACACACACACACACACACACACACACGATGTTGCAGGAAGCCATTGGTAGTTAGTTTTTTATTGAAAAGAGATGGCATGTTAAAACTCTTCCAGGAAAAACGAACTCAAACTTCACCACCACGTACTGAGCAAATAGTACACGGATCGTATTAAGAACAACATGATTTGTCTTAATCTTCTCACATGCTGGAGCTACATCACCTTTTTGTAGCCTTCTTCATGATTACATATTAAATTCCTGCAAATTCTTGTTTTTAAAAACATGCCTTAGGTTCATCTGGTCAAGCTGAGGACAGAGCGGGGGGCTCGTCGCTATGAGAACCGTCACACACATCTGTGATATTAAACTGCACAAAATGACAGGAGTTAGGTGACTGTGTGTGCCCTAATTGTCAGTTCCACAGTCACTTCCTAATAATGACAATTTGAAAAAAAATAGGTCTCCAACCAAGAATTTCACATCATATTAATTTTTCAAATAGACCGTCTATCCTTACCTGTGATGTTAAAAATTAACTTGATTTTGTGATCAGTTAATGGAGTATTTCTTTTAATCCGTGAAGATCTGGCTTTGCCAGCGCCCATCGGTGTCTCTCGCACGGCGTCCAAGAAGTCGTCGTAGGAGTAATCCAGCCTGTTAGCTGGGCCCCAACCACCAGGTCCTGGACAGTCGGGGCAGAGAAATACAAGATTCTACAGTTGCATCCTTATCAGGTTTTAATGTCAAGTGACAAATGAAATTGTCATTGACTATCTGTCATTGACTACTGCCCATAATGTACCAATACAAGGTTTCATCTGCAATCTTACACATTGTCATTTTTGGCTTCATATTAAATTTAGATTACCAATGAATAACTTTAAAAAGTACAAAGAAAAGTTGCTATAGAGCTCTGTAGGCATTTGAACCATTCTATCTTTGACCTAATAGTTAATTATCTTAGCTTTAGAGGTAAATACGGAGGTAGGAATAGATTTTTATTAATTCCTATTTCCCTTCAGGGTTTGCTCCATTCTCTTTTTTTTTCCAATATCAGTTTTACAAACTTAATGCACATAAATAGATTTCCTTTTATGAAGATTATTCAAGGTATCTGCATATCTGCAGCATATTTTTAAAGATGGGGGGTAGTTCCTGAAGGCAGCATATAATTTAAATGTTTACATATTTAAGGCAACTCTGCTGGAGGCAGCACTATTGTAAGTGATTATTTTTTTTAAATTTTGGGTTATTAGCTTGTTGTTCATTTCTGTTTGTTTTTTTAATGGAGGTACTGGGGATTGAACCTAGGACCTTGTGCACATTAAGCATGTGCTCCACCACTGAGCTGTACCCTCCCTTCCACATGTGATTCTTTAGATGCCCTCTGTATCACTGTGATCGACACCATGGATTCGGACTGGGGCTTCTTGCTATATGATGTATAGCTGAACAATCTTAGTCAAACTACTTTCATCTCTCTGAATCTCAGTTTATTTAATTATAAACTGAAATAATTATCCTTACCTCATAGATCTGTCTGTGGGATAACTGAGCCATTTAAACAAACAATCTAGTTCTGTATTTGACTCATTCTAAAACCTCAGTGAAAGTAAATGATATTAATATCAGCCTAGGCATACAGCTGTTGCTTAGTTATGTGCTTTAAACATCAAATTCTATTTATAAAGGCTTGTCCACTTCTGTAAGTGGTTTTTGAGGTTGGTTTTGGTTTTTGTTTTTTGCTTAACACACATTTTTGGTCATTAAAATGAACTGAGATCAATTCAATATTTTTGTTTTTCACTTAAACATTTTTTCCTATAAGTATCATATAGTTATTATAGGAAAAAAAACCCCAGATCAGCAAAGAGAAAAATGTAAAAGATTACCTATAATTCCAGCACATAGAAATAACTACTGTAACATTTTAGGCAAAATTTTTTCTATGAATATATATAAACACACACATATACATTTATGCATACATACACACATACATATATAGAATATATAGAATAAAAATAAATATACCACACTTTTAACAAAACAAGATCATACACTGTATATATTATTTGGTAATCTTTTCTCACATTTTCTCAACAATATACTATAACATTTCTGAGTCAAATGGTTTCATAATATTCTCATCTATAGCTATATTAAAAACTAAGCAGGCTTCTACTTTCAGACTTAGGTTATCTCAAAATTTTAGAACATCCTTCATTTTAGAACATCAATGTTTTAGAATATTTAGTATTTCATAGAGTGTAAGACACCCTCAGCAAGAAGACATACCCCAATTTCAGAAATGTCAAAATGAAAAATGTGCATCTTAGCATTTATGAAACATGGTACGTCTTTGCACAGTAGCATGATTTTTATCTTGAGAAATACATTTAGAAGCGGAATTTCTGGGTCTGCGCATTTTTACTCCTTTAGATACATACTGTCCAATGCCCTTCAATTTCTCCTCTGCACACAATACATGCATATGATTTTTTCCCCCTGACACCCTTGCCAGCTCTGGGTAGTATGATTCTTATTCAAATTTGTTATTCTAATAGGTCAAAAGTGGCATCTTTTATTGGTTTCTATTTGAATTACATGATTAGGATGAGATCAAACCATTTAAATATATTTACTGGCCCTCTGTTTTTCATACATTAGGACTTGCCAAGGTGCTGTTATAAATATATTCATCTTGTGACTCTACTGTAAAGACACACAAGGAGGAAGGTTCGTCTCTCAGGATGACTTGTACCACTTGTACGACAAGCCATCTGGATCCTTACAAGATGACAGATATTGCCCATCTCAAAGCCTTACAATGACAACTGACTTCCTGTGTGTGTATCCTTGTCCTTGCAACCTACCTCCGCAAGCCGGGAGGGGAAGCTGGGCCATGTGTGACAGAAGAGGCCTGGTTATTCTAGGCGTGACACTGTCACTCCCTGCCAATGCCACTTCATGGTTTTCTATCTAAGACTTTAATATCCAATATGTTCACTGATAAGTAGCACACAATAGTTAAGATTGGAAAACAACCCAAAGTCTACCAATAGGAAGCAGTTTATATAAATTACGGCAAATTGATGGATAAAATAATATGTGGCCATAAAAGCTGTGTTGAAGTATAATACTTAATGACATAAAAAATGTCCTCAATAAAACATTAACTAAAAATTCATGTTCACAAAATAGTACGGGTCTCATATATGCACACACAGTTACATATATGCTAATATATTAATAGAATTATTTCTGTGATTGCAGGTTATCTTGATTTCATTGTTTTTTTTTAGCATTTTTCAAATTTTTGCAATAAACATGTGTGCACAAACAGTATTTTTAAATGTAAAAAGTTCAAAGCAATAGTCAACATACCTTTTAATGCTCAATCACTAAAAATATCAATATGATTAGTTTCAGGAACAAAAAGGATGTCTCCTGTCATGTAATACTATCTCACATAACCTTCTAAGCGCTTTATCTGTCCTTCTTCATTTAATCCTTATAACAGCCCGATGAGCTCAGTAGTCTTATGCACCCAATTTGCCGGTGAGAAAACGGAGGCACAGAGTGTCTGGGAACTTGTGCAAGGCCACACGGCTAGTGGCTGGGGATGTCAAGACTCGGACCTTAGCAGTTCGTCAGAGAGTCCTGTGCCTTAACCACGACACTATTTTGGGCTCATTATTATTTTTTAAACTTTACTCCAGAAGTTGTGGACAGTTTCATAAGGATGAAATAAAGTAAGTATAATTACTGGAAAGGACAATTTTGCTAATCAAGAGACACAATTGAAATTGCCTAGAAAGATGAAGACAGTAAGTTACGTGGCCAGATGTGCCAGCAAAAAAATCACATAGCACACTTCAGAATAGCCTCAATAAAAGTTATATGTTAAGTATATCTCAAAAAAAAAAAACAGGTGGAAAAATGTTCAGAGTCTATGAAGAAAATATCCGAATGCCACTCAAAGATACATTAGACTTGAATAGATTGAGCCTTAACACATTCCAGGTGAGGAATCGGAATATTTTACATGTGTAACTATCTTAAATAAATGGCTTAATTGCAATTTAAGTTAAATGCCATATAAAGTTGCTATTAGTACTTTACCACTACTACTGTTTTCTTCTAAGCTATCACATGAATATTTGAATTTTACAATCATAATGTGACTTAGTTTTCTTAGTTATTATTATCCTGAAGAGTTTTGGCTAATATTTGGAAAGAACTTATTTGATACCCAAAATATACTATGTCTATAAAGCTCATTAAACACAGTATCAAATTACCCAGTCATCCTAAAATACTTGATGAATAAATTCACAAAAGTTCATTTTTCTAGTCTGCTCCACTCTTCTGGAATTATTTTCTTATTCTGCAGATTAGTTCTGCAAACTACCCACACGAAATAATGTCATTACCAATTGCAAAGCCATTTTCATAGTCATAATTATATTCGAGGCAGTATTTTTTGGTCAGGTCCTCCAGTCTGCAGTCAATGTCATCAGCATCATTACAAAACGATGGGACCTGCAAATAAAAAAGGAACAGGACAAAAAGGTACTTCACATCTGGGTGTGCTTTGGGTAAAGCCTTCGTGCCAAGCCTTCGTGCCTCTGGTCTCACACCTCCATCAGCAGAAGCGAGGGCCCTAGATCTCTGCTTATTCTTAAAAAGGCTCCTGACCCTCCTCGGTGCCCTCCCCTACCTCCTCCCACTGCCCGTGGACCACAAGGATCAGTCGCCTGCCTTCTATCTGTGCTTATATCATTTACCAAAAGAAGCCCAGGACTCCCGGGACATCTCTTGCCTCTGAACTTTCACCTCATTTGGCGTTTTTAAAAGTGAAGTATCAGTGGGGAGGGTATAAATCAGTGGTAGAGTGTGTGCTTAGGATGCACGAGGTCCTGGGTTCAATCCCCAGTGCCTCCATTAAAAAATAAATAAATGAAAATAAATCTAATTACCACCTCACCCCCGCCCCTGCCGAAAACCCCTGAAGGATAGTTAATTTACAATATTATATTACTGGCTCTTTAGATCCCTTTTCTCTCACCCTATCTTCCACCCTTCTTTAAGTCCTCAAAACGTTTCTCAAAGCCCTCTGATGTTTGGTCAGTGATCGGCCAATCCATTTTTTTTTTTTAATTTTTGTTTTCTTTTGTGGGGGGAGGTAATTAGGGTTATTTATTTATTTTTACTTAATTTTTTAAAAATGGAAGTACTGGGTATTGAACCCAGGATCTCATGCATGCTAAGCCCACGCTCTACCACTGAGCTATAACGTCCCCAGCAATCTACGTTATTGTTTTTTTAACCTTTTCTCTTAATGTTTTCTTCCCTTTTGCTCTCAATGGAACCTAACTTCCCAGTTTCCTTGGGTGGTGGGCGTGGAGGTGGAGGACACGTCTTCCTCACCCTCCACTGCTGTTCCCAGATCACGCTCGCAGGAACCTGCTTGAAGCCCCACAGCTTTGACGCTCCTGCAGTCAACACACCATATATCATCACTGTCATCTACAGCCCTCCCCTACGCTAAGCCACCTCATTTCAAGAACCCTTAGGAACTAACCATCCCTGTTACAGTTCTTGGTGACTTCTATATCCACTCAACTAATCCTCCCATCACCTTGGCTTCTCACTTCTTTTTCCTCCTCTGTCTTCCAGCTTCACTTTGTCACTTACTCCCACGGTCACACCCTCAGACCTCATCATTCCCAGAACTGCACTCTTACTCCAACAACGCTTTGACTTCATCAGAATCTGTAATCTGCCGATCCTACCACCACTTTACTGTCCCCAGGCCCCTGATGTCTTCACTTCCTTATTTACCCATCTTAGATTCCACGGTCCACCACCATGAATTACTCCCTTGCGTGCACCCTCCATAATTTGATTATCTGGAGAACCCTTAAACCTGGCTAATTGCTGTGTCTTCTCCACATCTGTTCCCACAGGGTCAACTACAGCTTGGGAGAAAACACAGCTTTGCTTACTGCCAGTCCTGCCACATTTCTCTAGTATATCCATTTACGCTCTCTAAGAAAATTGTTTTATACCATCTACTCATTTCTGAAACCTCCAGCAACTCCTCCCCACCCCTTTTTGAGGCTGATCAGTCTCCATCTTTTTTTCACAGATAAAATAGTCACAAAAGATCCTTCTTTCACATACTTACACTCCTCTGTGTACCCCCTCCTGTGTCTGGGCTCCTGTACACTCTGCCTCCTTGACACTGCTCTTTCTCTCACGCTTGACATCAAATCTACTACTATTATTAAATCTACTTTCAGAATCTATCCAACGTCTAAGCCACTCACTCTGGTAGGGATGCAAACATCTATAACATTACTTCCTCCCTCCAAGATGCCCAACACAGTTAAATACATTGCTTTGCTTGCCTGTAATGACTGAGTCATAAACAAAAATGCATGAAGAAATCCTTTAAACGTTCAATTATCTCCTCGTCATAAAAGAAATACCATCTACAATGGCATTTTTGTCATTCTTTAAATAACAAAGCAGACATTCTGAAACCACACGGACAGTAAGTAAGCTCCTCTTTCTGACTCAGAGTGTTTTAAAAAGTTCAAAGAGTTTTCATAAGGATTTACTTATAATTCACTCCAAAGCCTAGGAATAATTCTAAATATCAGAAGCAAGTTTGGGTCACAAAGAGGGAAACCAGCAGGACAGAGAACTTCTGTTGCACGTGACCCAGAGAGGCTACAAAAAACTCAACAGCATCCTTTGAAACACAGCAAGCAATAAAGAAATTCCGACATACCATTTCCCCCAGGGTAGTCTGAAATGCTTCAGAAAACTTCTTCAACAGATCCGTGTCATCACAACGAGTTGCTTTGTACAGCATCTCAAAGGACTTGAATCCGTGATTTGCAAAACGTTTTACTGGAAGATGTTGGGGGAAAAAAAAAACTTCAGTTGGTTAGCGTTTTCAAAACAAGGATTTAATTTTCCATGGAATAACTGTAATTTAGTATTTTAATTCTAACACAATTTGTGGGACTGTGACAAAAACAAAGATGACAGTCAAGGAATGTTTCCAGGCATTAACTGATCATAATAAACCATGAGCCAAGCAGCCCTGGACCCAGTTACTCGGTGACAAATTTGCTTTGATACAGGATTCTTTATCTTCCAGTCATATGAAAAAGTGAACATTTAAGGGAAAAATAGATCTAAAAATTCTTTTCATTACATTCCTGGGAATCTTAGAAAAACCCAAAGATATTATATTGCATCAAAGATATTTTATTTTATATTTACATAAATTTATAACATACATGTTTATATTATGTTTTTAGCCAATAGACATTGAAACATTTCTGAATATTATGTGAAATTATATTTCTTAAAAGTGTAATTTCACAGGGACAAATTTCTCCTTGAGTCAGAAGCTCAGACATTAGACTCAGCAAGATGTCTTATAATATTCAAAGACAATGCCTTTTAACAGCGTCATCATTAAAATCCTACTGTCTACATCTGTGACAGAGGCAAATGATAACACTTTTATTTACTTCCCAAATTTGGGGGGGAAAAAAACAGCTCGAGTGAGTGAGTTTTGCTCTTTTTCCAAGACATTGGCATTCAAACTTCATCTAGGGTACCGGATCAAAGATTCACTCCAGAGAATATTATTTACAATAGACAAAGGGATTATATTATTTTTCTAATAACATACATTTAAGATTATAGAATAGCTCTAAATCTAAATTAGATCTGAAGAGAACGTGACTGATCTCATCAAGTATATTGGCTCTTACTTTAAATACAAGCTCTTCTGCAGACTATACGCTATACTTTACGTTCAAGTTTACAGGTCAAGAATGACATGCTGACAACTCTCTGGATAAGTCCAGTAGATAACAATGAGAGGGTTTTGCCATAACCTGAATCTTGTCCTATAGCAATCCAATCAATAACAAGACTCCTGTGGGCTCATATTTTAAATTGAGAGGTGAATATTTATCTGCAAGCATTTCAAATTCATGGCACTGTTTTTCCACTCTGCAGTCACTTCATTAGATTTGAATTTACATTTTCTGTTTATACAAACCAGCTGGGCAAACCTAATCCCTGTGTTAAGGCAATTTTTCTCTTTAATGTTTAGAACTTTACACACACAGGCAGACGAACACAGATTCACACATACTAAAGGAGCCCACAAAAATACTAAACCTTACTAGCACAGTCTGGCCATTCAGCGGAATATGGCGGCCTCCAGATACCATCTTCATATGCACAAGAATACTTGTCAGTAGAGCCTTCTGTGAAATCATAGCCCTCTGAGCAACGTAATGTACAGTTAACTCCAGCACTATCTTGAGTACATATAAAATCCCCATTTACAGGTGTAAACGGAACTTCACATGGGGAACCTGCGGGGGAAAAATTGTACCATTCATATACTATAAGAAATATAAATTAAAATCCAGGAGTCTAGGCTGAATTTTGGAAAAGATTTCCTCCTGTTCACAACTATTCCTAGAAAAACTTTCACAATAAAAATCCTTCATGTGGGATTGCAGTAATGTCTGCTTTTCAACTCCTACGTGGGTGTAGTTGAAAAGCTGTACCTCTGTGCAATTAGAGGTGGTGCCTATTTTAGGAAAAGCTAAAAGTATTTCTGATTTGAAGTTGTTATTTCTGCAATTCCTTTAATGAAAATGCAAACCGCTAACGTTATGTTGCAAATACATTTTCAGAATTTTGTCTCCTCAAGCCTTCAAAACAGGATCATGACAATCACACTTTGTAACTTGGGAGAAAATGTTAATAAGCTGTTAATTAAAGACTACTTTGGAAGAAAATCTTTCTATTTATCATGAAGTGAAGTAGCAATAATTGGAAACCTCAGAAAAATTTATCAGCATTCTAACTTAAAAAATCTACTATCCTATAATAGCCTATAGTGAAAAAGAATATGAAAAGGAATATATATATATGTGTGTAACTGAATCACTAGGCAAAATACCAGAAATTAACACAACATTGTAAACTGACCACACTTCAATTAAAAAAAAATCTACTGCTCGAGACTATTTTCTTTCACAAACACAGTGCAACAGCGATTACACATATCAAATGTCCACTAGGTCTTTGGAGGCTTGTGAAGGGAATACCTTTTATGACAATGTGGATGTCACATGTTCTGTCATTGCCTGAGGGGTCAGTGGCTGTATACCACACTACCGTCTCCCCGAGAGGGAAGAGGTCCCCGGGTGCATGACTTCTGGTGATGGTCAACACAGCTCCTGGAAGGGGAAGAAGGAATCCGACTTGGGAGTTATTAGTCTGCAGTCACTTTATCACATCTGAGTTTTCATTATTTTCACAAGCCAGCTGGGCATTCTGCTTATGTTGATTTGGCCACTGGCAGAAAATAGAAGACATAATCTTTATACTATCACAGAAATAGTTGACTCAAAAACCTCATTAAATTAAGGCATTCTTACTAAATAAATCACTTTCCTTGAATAGGTCAGTCTGTAAGTATTGGAAATTTAATTAAGAAATCTAATTTGCATTTTTATTGTTTTCTGGGATTTGGTGAAAGCTTTACGGTGAATTTCAGTTGTATTTGCTCATTTTTTTTCTATTTTCCTATGAACTTTTATAACTTTTTTTTGGCAAATGTTTGAGACCTGAGAATGAATACATAGAATGGTGTTAGATTTACTAACAGAATGCATAGTTTATGCCTTCAGTACAGTGGAAGCTTAGAGACTCAATGAATTTATTAGAACACTTTCAAATAAAACACCTCGCATAGTTTTAATAAATATCCACTGAATATTGAATGGAAGGCAACTCCATGGATAGGTAAGATTAATAGTGTTAAATTTTATATAATTATTCTAGCATTAAAACATATTACCTTACATAATGATTGATTGTGTTTAGATATC